AGTCCAACTGCAGAAATCAACGTTAAAAGTTCACTCCCTTCACTTGGTCAGCTCTACGTTCTGCAATATTGAATCTGCAGCCTCAAAAGAATTGGAAACTGAAGCAAGCAGTCCAACTGCAGAAATCAACGTTAAAAGTTCACTCCCTTCACTTGGTCAGCTCTACGTTCTGCAATATTGAATCTGCAGCCTCAAAAGAAAGGGAAACTGAAGCAAGCAGTCCAACTGCAGAAATCAACGTTAAAAGTTCACTCCCTTCACTTGGTCAACTCTACGTTCTGCAATATTGAATCTGCAGCCTCAAAAGAAAGGGAAACTGAAGCAAGCAGTCCAACTGCAGAAATCAACGTTAAAAGTTCACTCCCTTCACTTGGTCAACTCTACGTTCTGCAATATTGAATCTGCAGCCTCAAAAGAAATGGAAAGTGAAGCAAGCAGTCCAACTGCAGAAATCAACGTTAAAATTTCACTCCCTTCACTTGGTCAGCTCTACATTCTGGAATATTGAATCTACAGCCTCAAAAGAAATGGAAACTGAAGCAAAAAGTCCAACTGCAGAAATCAACGTTAAAAGTTCACTCCTTCACTTGGTCAGCTCTACGTTCTGCAATATTGAATCTGCAGCCTCAAAAGAAATGGAAACTGAAGCAAGCAGTCCAACTGCAGAAATCAACGTTAAAAGTTCACTCCCTTCACTTGGTCAGCTCTACGTTCTGCAATATTGAATCTGCAGCCTCAAAAGAAATGGAAACTGAAGCAAGCAGTCCAACTGCAGAAATCAACGTTAAAAGTTCACTCCCTTCACTTGGTCAGCTCTATGTTCTGCAATATTGAATCTGCAGCCTCAAAAGAAATGGAAAGTGAAGCAAGCAGTCCAACTGCAGAAATCAACGTTAAAAGTTCACTCCCTTCACTTGGTCAGCTCTACGTTCTGCAATATTGAATCTGCAGCCTCAAAAGAAATGGAAACTGAAGCAAGCAGTCCAACTGCAGAAATCAACGTTAAAATTTCACTCCCTTCACTTGGTCAGCTCTACGTTCTGGAATATTGAATCTCCGACCTCAAAAGAAATGGAAACTGAAGCAAGCAGTCCAACTGCATAAATCAACGTTAAAAGTTCACTTCCTTCACTTGGTCAGCTCTACGCTCTGAAAATATTGAATCTGCAGCCTCAAAAGAAATGGAAACTGAAGCAAGCAGTCCAACTGCAGAAATCAACGTTAAAAGTTCACTCCCTTCACTTGGTCAGCTCTACGTTCTGCAATATTGAATCTGCAGCCTCAAAAGAAATGGAAACTGAAGCAAGCAGTCCAACTGCAGAAATCAACGTTAAAAGTTCACTCCCTTCACTTGGTCAGCTCTACGTTCTGCAATATTGAATCTGCAGCCTCAAAAGAAATGGAAACTGAAGCAGGCAGTCCAACTGCAGAAATCAACGTTAAAAGTTCACTCCCTTCACTTGGTCAGCTCTACGTTCTGCAATATTGAATCTGCAGCCTCAAAAGAAATGGAAACTAAAGCAAGCAGTCCAACTGCAGAAATCAACGTTAAAAGTTCACTCCCTTCACTTGGTCAGCTCTACGTTCTGCAATATTGAATCTGCAGCCTGAAAAGAAATGGAAACTGAAGCAAGCAGTCCAACTGCAGAAACCAACGTTAAACGTTCACTCCCTTCACTTGGTCAGCTCTACGTTCTGCAATATTGAATCTGCAGCCTCAAAAGAAATGGAAACTGAAGCAAGCAGTCCAACTGCAGAAATCAACGTTAAAAGTTCACTCCCTTCACTTGGTCAGCTCTACGTTCTGGAATATTGAATCTGCAGCCTCAAAAGAAATGGAAACTGAAGCAAGCAGTCCAACTGCAGAAATCAACGTTAAAAGTTCACTCCCTTCACTTGGTCAGCTCTACGTTCTGCAATATTGAATCTGCAGCCTCAAAAGAAATGGAAACTGAAGCAAGCAGTCCAACTGCAGAAATCAACGTTAAAAGTTCACTCCCTTCACTTGGTCAGCTCTACGTTCTGCAATATTGAATCTGCAGCCTCAAAAGAAATGGAAACTGAAGCAAGCAGTCCAACTGCAGAAATCAACGTTAAAAGTTCACTCCCTTCACTTGGTCAGCTCTACGTTCTGCAATATTGAATCTGCAGCCTCAAAAGAAATGGAAAGTGAAGCAAGCAGTCCAACTGCAGAAATCAACGTTAAAATTTCACTCCCTTCACTTGGTCAGCTCTACGCTCTGCAATATTGAATCTGCAGCCTCAAAAGGAATGGAAACTGAAGCAAGCAGTCCAACTGCAGAAATCAACGTTAAAAGTTCACTCCCTTCACTTGGTCAGCTCTACGTTCTGCAATATTGAATCTGCAGCCTCAAAAGGAATGGAAACTGAAGCAAGCAGTCCAACTGCAGAAATCAACGTTAAAATTTCACTCCCTTCACTTGGTCAGCTCTACGTTCTGCAATATTGAATCTGCAGCCTGAAAAGAAATGGAAACTGAAGCAAGCAGTCCAACTGCAGAAATCAACGTTACAAGTTCACTCCCTTCACTTGGTCAGCTCTACGTTCTGCAATATTGAATCTGCAGCCTCAAAAGAAATGGAAAGTGAAGCAAGCAGTCCAACTGCAGAAATCAACGTTAAAATTTCACTCCCTTCACTTGGTCAGCTCTACGTTCTGCAATATTGAATCTGCAGCCTCAAAAGAAATGGAAACTGAAGCAAGCAGTCCAACTGCAGAAATCAACGTTAAAAGTTCACTCCCTTCACTTGGTCAGCTCTACGTTCTGCAATATTGAATCTGCAGCCTCAAAAGAAATGGAAACTGAAGCAAGCAGTCCAACTGCAGAAATCAACGTTAAAACTTCACTCACTTCACTTGGTCAGCTCTACGTTCTGCAATATTGAATCTGCAGCCTCAAAAGAAATGGAAACTGAAGCAAGCAGTCCAATTGCAGAAATCAACGTTAAAAGTTCACTCCCTTCACTTGGTCAGCTCTACGTTCTGCAATATTGAATCTGCAGCCTCAAAAGAAATGGAAACTGAAGCAAGCAGTCCAACTGCAGAAATCAACGTTAAAAGTTCACTCCCTTCACTTGGTCAGCTCTACGTTCTGCAATATTGAATCTGCAGCCTCAAAAGAAATGGAAACTGGAGCAAGCAGTCCAACTGCAGAAATCAACGTTAAAACTTCACTCCCTTCACTTGGTCAGCTCTACGTTCTGCAATATTGAATCTGCAGCCTCAAAAGAAATGGAAACTGAAGCAAGCAGTCCAACTGCAGAAATCAACGTTAAAAGTTCACTCCCTTCACTTGGTCAGCTCTACGTTCTGCAATATTGAATCTGCAGCCTCAAAAGAAATGGAAACTGAAGCAAGCAGTCCAACTGCAGAAATCAACGTTAAAACTTCACTCACTTCACTTGGTCAGCTCTACGTTCTGCAATATTGAATCTCCAGCCTCAAAAGAAAGGGAAACTGAAGCAAGCAGTCCAATTGCAAAAATCAACGTTAAAAGTTCACTCCCTTCACTTGGTCAGCTCTACGTTCTGCAATATTGAATCTGCAGCCTCAAAAGAAATGGAAACTGAAGCAAGCAGTCCAACTGCAGAAATCAACGTTAAAACTTCACTCCCTTCACTTGGTCAGCTCTACGTTCTGCAATATTGAATCTGCAGCCTCAAAAGAAATGGAAACTGAAGCAAGCAGTCCAACTGCAGAAATTAACGTTAAAACTTCACTCCCTTCACTTGGTCAGCTCTACGTTCTGCAATATTGAATCTGCAGCCTCAAAAGAAATGGAAACTGAAGCAAGCAGTCCAACTGCAGAAATCAACGTTAAAAGTTCACTCCCTTCACTTGGTCAGCTCTACGTTCTGCAATATTGAATCTGCAGCCTCAAAAGAAATGGAAACTGAAGCAAGCAGTCCAACTGCAGAAATCAACGTTAAAACTTCACTCACTTCACTTGGTCAGCTCTACGTTCTGCAATATTGAATCTCCAGCCTCAAAAGAAATGGAAACTGAAGCAAGCAGTCCAATTGCAGAAATCAACGTTAAAAGTTCACTCCCTTCACTTGGTCAGCTCTACGTTCTGCAATATTGAATCTGCAGCCTCAAAAGAAATGGAAACTGAAGCAAGCAGTCCAACTGCAGAAATAAACGTTAAAACTTCACTCCCTTCACTTGGTCAGCTCTACGTTCTGCAATATTGAATCTGCAGCCTCAAAAGAAATGGAAAATGAAGCAAGCAGTCCAACTGCAGAAATTAACGTTAAAACTTCACTCCCTTCACTTGGTCAGCTCTACGTTCTGCAATATTGAATCTGCAGCCTCAAAAGAAATGGAAACTGAAGCAAGCAGTCCAACTGCAGAAATCAACGTTAAAAGTTCACTCCCTTCACTTGGTCAGCTCTACGTTCTGCAATATTGAATCTGCAGCCTCAAAAGAAATGGAAACTGAAGCAAGCAGTCCAACTGCAGAAATCAACGTTAAAACTTCACTCACTTCACTTGGTCAGCTCTACGTTCTGCAATATTGAATCTCCAGCCTCAAAAGAAATGGAAACTGAAGCAAGCAGTCCAATTGCAGAAATCAACGTTAAAAGTTCACTCCCTTCACTTGGTCAGCTCTACGTTCTGCAATATTGAATCTGCAGCCTCAAAAGAAATGGAAACTGAGGCAAGCAGTCCAACTGCAGAAATCAACGTTAAAACTTCACTCCCTTCACTTGGTCAGCTCTATGTTCTGCAATATTGAATCTGCAGCCTCAAAAGAAATGGAAAGTGAAGCAAGCAGTCCAACTGCAGAAATCAACGTTAAAATTTCACTCCCTTCACTTGGTCAGCTCTACGTTCTGCAATATTGAATCTGCAGCCTCAAAAGAAATGGAAAGTGAAGCAAGCAGTCCAACTGCAGAAATCAACGTTAAAATTTCACTCCCTTCACTTGGTCAGCTCTACGTTCTGCAATATTTGAAATTAAATATTTGACTCCCATGTTTTATGAAGTAAATTCTGAAACAACGCAAAATCAGAAAACAAATTTCAGTCAATTTTGATGCATAATTTACAGCTTGAAGCTAGTTTAATGCGTTTTTATGCTCCGTTTGAGTCGTGTAGATCTGCAAAAAATGCGGCAGCAGGGTCGAAACACTTGCGGATCGCTAGTATTTGTTGCTTGGTCGTCTGCTTGCTCCTCTGCTCCAGAATCTCAGAAGCAGCCAACACAGACACATCCCAGAATTTGAGGAGCTTATCGGCCCCACACGAGATCAACACATTGCCAGAGTAGTCTGCATAGAAAATAAACATTATTACTAGAAATCAAATTACTTTTTCAATTACCACAAGTAAAGCCAGATGGGTCAAGACCTTTCGGGTTCATTCGATCGATATGTAAAAAAGAAGCAAAGCCGACATTCACGCAACATCCAATTCAAAAACATCGCCAATCGAAGATTGGAAAAGAGTAATGAACGCAAGTAAACATACAAAAAAAACATTGAATTTATTGAAAAAATCTCAACTTTCGAATTTCAAAAAGAAAAATAAATGCCCTTTAAGCTCTTTGAATTTCTAGAACAACTTATGATTGAAGCTTTTTTGATAACATGAACCCAACTTGACAAAACTGGATCAACAAGAAAAGTTATTATTCTGCTAGAAATCTAAAAATCAATTCCACTTTCAAAACTAGAAATCGTTCACGTTCTTTTTCGCGCCATTTCCACGTTAGTACTTGGAGAGTGCTACTTACGTCATTTTCAGCATATGAATTTCAATTGAAACTAAAAAAGTGCATTATAACTAAGTGCATCAGTATTTAAAAACTTTTCCTGAGAAAAAAAAAACAAAACAAAAATCAGCAAGACCCATATAAGAGTCTTCACTACGTTCATTACTCTAAAGAATTAAAACGCTTATTTTTCTGAGCAGCCCAAAACCAGCCACCAAAATTACTTGTTCAGAAAATCTACAATAAATTTTAAAGAAGATGAAAGTTTTGGAAACAAAATCGTGTAGGTTTGTCAACAAGAAAAAACTGAAGATAATGAGCCAAAAACAAACTATCTTATTTTGAAAATTCATACAGAAAGACCACTGACAGCGGTATCTTAACATTAGCTTGAACTTGGTAGAATCCTAAATAAAGTACATGCTATGCAAACTAATCCGACAGAAAAACAACAAAGTCAACTGCCAGTTGGAAAGGAGTAATGAATGCAAGGAAACTGAAAAAAAACCACGTGTTTTTTCATTTATCTTCAACTTATGAATTTCGAAGAAAAAAATAGTTAGCCTTGAAGCTCTTTGAATTTGTAGAACAATTTACACTAATGTTTAAATTAAACCCACTTTGAGAAAACTGGATCAATCGATAAAACTTTTATTTCGCTGGGAAATCTGATAATTAATTTCCATTTTCAAAATTAGAAGTCGATCACGTTTTTCGTTACCTTTACACTTTCGCTGTTCGATAGTGGAGTTCGCCTTCTTTCAACAAACGAATTGAAGTCGACTTAAGAAGAAATCACCAGTCAATCCGCGAAAAATCAAAATTGAGCGTGAACAAATTTTAAGACTTTTTCCTGAAAAAATAAAACAAAAAAAACAGCAAGACCAATATAAGAGTACTCACAACGTTCATTACTCTTAACCAGCGTCTAAAAATTGAACTTCGAAGCGGAAAATTAGCAAAAAGTACAGGTCCGGCTCAGACTCGATCTTCCACCCCTAGTCGTCTCAAATATGAGTGTTACCTCAGCGCCAAATGGAGAATCAAACACTGGATTTGAAATATCATTATGAAGCAGGTTGAAACACTTAACTAGACAACAGGGGCGAATTCTGCGAGTTTTTTAACAGGAAAAACAGTCTTAGCAAAGGTATTGCCCTTGCGGTTGCAATACTCTTGCTGGATCAAGTTAAGATCCTCCCCCAACAACCCCCCCCCCCGCCCCCAAATCGGTTTAGGGGGGAGGATGTCAACTTGGTTCTGAGTTCGAATTTTCAGCCAATCAGAATAGAGCACTTTACATGCAGAGCTTATCAAAATTAATTTAAATTCAACGCTGGGCTGGAGTATTTTAACTTAACAGAGGTCTATTTGGGGGGGGGGGATGTTAACTTGATCCCCCTTGCTAATCTAATCGCGTTTGGATGTTTTTTTTGGTACGTTTTTTTGCAAAATGCACGGTGATAGGAACCTTCTTGTATCCATAGCAACCGGCAATTCTAGTTAAATGCGCAACATCAGGTTCCGCGCGAATTATGGTCAGAAGACGTCGAGTGATATAACATGTTAAAGCCCTTTGAGTCGCCATTCCGTCGAGATAAACGAAGATCCTAAATTCTTTTGGTATCGAGAAAATCGTTTAAAATTTTTGCTTCTTAGTGAATTAAGGGTGAAGACCCACTCTTCACTTCGACATTCTTCATTATTTTCTATTTCAAACAGACTAAAAACTGTTTTATACGTTTATCAAGCTCATGTAACAAGTCCTTGAAGCTTTTGATAGCTCCATTTCTGCGCTGAAGACGTTTGCAAAATCTGAAAACTTCCGAAAGCTTGAAAAAAAAAGAGTTTTCTTCATTTACACCCCATTTTTCAATTAATTTTCTGAATATAACGAACTTTCTATGCTGTCTCTACAACAATCAGCTACTCTTGTTCAAAGGTGAGTTTTTCTGTACCAATATGGCTGGATGCATTTATATTCAATGTGAAAGCACGGTCAGAAATTCTTTTTGAATCGCAACCCATTTATGATTGAAATTGCTCAAACGATGCCTCATATCGATTTTTGCAGGAGCAATTCAATGACAGGAAGTTGTCATTTGCATGGTTTGCAATTCTGTCTAAATCTCACCTAAGTCGAAGCACTCAGTGGCGAGACGGTGGCACCCCACTTTGGTCAGTCGCCTGTTCGGAAAGAGACTGTAGGCGAATATGTGCCCGTTGTCGTCACTTACTGCATACACATTGTCACCAATCGCCCGCATCTTGTCCAAATTGAGGTCTGCTCGTCCGTTCGGCATCTGGTCGAAGATCGGAAGGCTATGACACATTTCAAAAATAAACAGTTCATTTTGCCATAAACATTTCAGTTATACCTTTCATTAAACAACTCTTGAATCTTGATAAATTGTTGTGAAAGCTGAATATTGGTCCCATTCAAGCTTGCGCATAAATTAGACATAAGTAAAGGTGCATGTCACTAAATTGCTGGCTTACAAAAAATATCGTAATTTGTGATTTAGTAAAGGGTTCAGTCATCTCATTATCTGGATGGCATAACCTTGAAAAAAAATTGAGATCAATGGAGTCTCATTTAACATTTTTGATGTACTGAACACGTTTTTGGTTTCAAAAACACGAACGACGTGACACTTAAAAACTAGATCAAGTAATAGTAAATGCAAATTACTAGCAATATCGGTGACCTTGCGAATCTTATTGCACCCGAAACCGTTCACTTTTAACTTCTCACAAAAATAGCTAACAAAATATGCATAGCCAACAGAGAAAAAGTAAAAAAACGAACTTTCGAATTTCAGAGAATACCAAGAAAAAAATTATGGCCTTAAAGCTCTTTGAATTTCGAGAACAAATAAAGATCGACATCTGATAAAGTTAACCTTATTTGAAAAAACTGGATCCATTGGTAATTTTTCATTCCTCTGGGATTTCTGAAGATTAAAACCGAATTTTGAAGAAATCATTTTTGTTGTTCGTACCCTTTTACTGTCCCTTTTTTAACTAAGGAAATGAACTGACCTTAAAGGAAACCGAAAATCGAGGCGCGAAAAATCAAATTTGAGCGAGACCGAATTTTAAGACTTTTCCCTGAAAAACAAACAAAAAAATCATCACGACCTATATACAATAGTCGTAACTACGCTCATTGAGTTTTAATAAAAATCAATGCGCTAGTTTCTTGTTTAGGGGTCTAACTTGTTTCAGGTGCGCTAAATTATCAAAATTGGCATGCGTTTACACAGAGGCCCAGCGGAGCTTCGCACCACTTGCAATACAACAATTATAGGATGAAAGCAAAATGAAGCTCAAAATTACAGAACTTCGAGTAAGGTTACAACTGACGCATGAAGTGAAAACGAAACAAAATTATACAGAGTCGAAGCAGAGCTTCGCACCAATTGCGATGGAAAAAATGTATGTCTAGAAAAAATTTTAAAAGTCACATTGGAAAATCAAACAAACAACAAAATCAGTTTGACTTCAACTAACGTTTTAAGCCAGCCAGCTATTGCTGGAAATTTAAAGGAAAAAATCGTAAGCAAGCCGACTGAAATAAAGCCGACAGCCGATTAGATGAAACTCCGCCAAAAACGACAAAAAAATCATCAAAAAACCAAATTTGAAAAATTGCATGTAGCACCTACATTGGATCTTAGATAGCTATAAAAAAATAGCGTGTGCAAAGTGGACTTCATAATTTGAAAACTAAACCGACAGAGCTTAAGTCGACAACCATGAAGCCGAAAAAACAATGGCAGAAAAATAGTATCGAAACTCTATAATTACACACACAATGATTTGAGTTCTAAATATAGCATATATCAGTAGTATCTAGTAACCACCCGGTAGTTGAATTTGAATTTTTATTAAATTGAGCATGCCACCTACATAGCAGCGTCATAAGTGATAAAACTGATTTTGTTAAACTAGTTGTTAACCCGAAAAAAATCTATACTCCGATTTGATAACACTTGCTAATCGCAAACGTAAAAACTAAGTCAGAAATCGAACGGAAATTTACGCAGAGATATAAAGAGTTTACCACTAACCCACAGTTTCTGATAGCAATGTTTGAAACATAACCAGCAGAATTGAGTTAAAAGAGCTTCGCTTAACAAAAACAATCAGTCCGAAAGGCAGGGAAATAATAGAAACGGCCTAGCCTGATAGCTTTTCAGAAATCCCATGCAAATTGCAGAAACCACAATTAATTATCATGAAAATTATCATTACCTGCCAAGGAAACTCAAAAAAATTACTTTGAAGAAAAGTTTGGAAAGATGTCAATTTGGAAGAAAAATGCAAGGATTTTTTATGAGTGATTATTTATTCACAGAGAGGCGAAGTTGCAACTTCGCAAACACGAGCAAGCAAGCGGCAAAAATGTAGGCTTTAAAATGCAAAAATTAAACATGTAAAAATTTGGTTTTATTAAAGTAAAGCCAAGCACACTTACTTTGCATGTAATAAATGAGAGTATATAAAACTAAATTGCGTATAAATTATGCATTTCGAAAATCTCGCGAAGCATATTGTGTTAGATAATTAATTATTATACTGTTGTATAGAACAAATAGCTTTTTTTGGTTCAATTGACATATTCAGAAAGCATCAACTGAGTTAACTTCTTAATAATCTAATGTCAAAGCAAAGGTAAATATACTGCTAAGGCAACCTTCAAACTCAAAAAGACCACCAAATTAGCCCTTTTAGTTGCGACTCAGGTTGGAAAAAAATTTGCATCGTGTTATCAACCACACTACACTACGCCCGAGTAATTTAACTAGTAAAACTAACCAAATAGAGAAAACTGAGTCAATGGCTTGTTTTTTATTCCAGTAGGAAATCAAAAAAATGAAATCTACTTTTGAACTTGAAAGTCATTCTTTTTTTGAGAGCCTTATCGAAATCATTTTTAGTCAAAAGAAATCAAAAATAATACCTAAATCATAAATTTGGAAGTGGTCAATTTGTAAAACTTTTTAAAGAAAACAACCATGCGACTTAAATAATTTCCTATATTGAAACTTAGAAAGTTGTACGTAAAAAACTGAAAATAAATTGTCGAAGTTTAGATGTCTAGCGAAAACACAAAATCACGAGACAGTTTAGAAGACCAGTATTTTGTCAGCAGGCAGTGAATAACCTCTGTAAAATAAAAGTCTCGATTAGTTTGAGGTAAAATCAGATCTCGGCAGGTCTCGGCTTCGCTTCGGCTTTTTCTCGACATGATTCTTTAGTGTTTTTTTTTATCTCGCCTCAGTTTTTAACTTATTCTGTCAAAAACTATTGCGTTTCAAGTTAATTACTTTTTTACTTTCTGAGAGTGAAAAATTGGTTTCGTCAAAGTGAGCAATTTAGGTTGAATAATTTGGTTCAAATTTGTTGACCGAAACGAATATAGCTAACACTTTGGTACTGTTTATAGTCAGGCGCGTATTGTAAGTAGCCGTTTTAATAGAAATGGGTTGAAATGAGTGGCTGTTACCTCTCAGTGTGTACCCCGTAGTATCCCTTCTGGTATATCTGGACGTGACCATCGGACAAGCCACACACCACTTTGCTCTCCTGTTCGCCCATCACCAACACACTCCGCATCTCCCCATTACTACTGGGCTGACTGAACAAAACCAAACACAGACATGAACAGATGGTAAGGGCAAGATACAGAACAGAGTAGTTCAACAACATTCTAGCTATCAAACACTGCGCATGCGCATCGTCACTCGTCAATTGTTAATAGATTAAACAAGTTAGATTAAACAATTTGAAGTAGGGTAAAAGTAACAAGCATAGCCCGTTACTCTTCGAGAAGCACAGATAGTTCCGACTACACTGATTGAAGAAAAAATCAAAATAAAAGAAAAAAATTTGTTTATTTTTTTCAAAAGGGCGGTTGAATTAGCCGAAAAATGCACAAGTGTTAGTTAATAGCCAATATAAAGTTTTAAAAAACTACGTCAACTTGGGCGTGATCCTCCAATCAAAAATTTTGTCAGCGTTTATTTAATTTGGTCTAAGAAGCGCTACGATTCCGACGAGTTTTTCTCGGCACAGAACTTCTGCAATTTTTTTTGAAATCAAATTCACAACCAATAGGGCTTTGATATGGTTCTCCTTTTAACCCCCTACTAGTTTTCCTTGAGGTAGTCGAAATTGGAGGCACTCTTTGAAAGCGGTCGAACAAAAATCAGTTAACCAAAAAAAAAAAATTCAAAAGCTCATTTGCCATCTTTCATTTTTTGGCGGAAGATATCTGCTTCCAGTAATAATGCATGTCAGCTCAATGGTTTGCGATTGGATGTACAAGTTATTTTCAGGCTGTTTTTGACAGCTATATCTACACGAAAAATAAAAATTGAAAAGTTTTACGCCAAAATTGTGATAAGGGTTAGCCTTAAAAACTCGTTCACTTATACCTTATGCTTATGACCACTGGCGGCAGCAAAAAAGATTATGAAATTATGGAGAAATACACCTTTGCATTTTGTACTGTGTCCTCCTGAAGTCTATGGTGGACATTGTGGAGTCGGTGGAGGAGGCGAACAGGAGTCTCCTGGCTGAGTCTCCAGAGAAGTCAGTCATTTCTCCCTCGTGCTCGTAGAACTTGAACACCCTCCTCCTCTTTCCACTGTTCCCCATGCGAACATCAAACGCCTCAAATGTTAAAAAAAATTATCATGCACGGGTAAAAGAAGAACGGACGGATCTATCACTTTTAAGCTCTCTTCAACTGATGAAAAAAATTGGCACACTCTTAAAGTAATTTTGGTGCGTTTAACCCCAAAACAAACTATCATGCAGGGAGCGCAAAAAACGCGGTGTAATAGCCCCAAAAGTTCCATTTTTTAAAATCAAAATGAAAACTAGTTGACAAAAAAGGCCATTCAAAATTCGCAAGGAGTTTTTTAGGGAGCCTGCTACCTTAATTCTCCCTCTCGTATCTCCCGTAACTACACAGCTATCGTTGTACCAACACACGGCACTTATGGAACTGCCATGCGCCTTGGAGATCCTCACAACTGGCTTCAAACCAGTCTCAATATCTGACAGCACTATCGACCTCCCGTCACCCCCTGAGACCAGTTGAGTACTGCTTGCATTTGAGTCCAGGTAGAAAAAGGAATTGTGCGCCTTCTCAACACACTTCAGTGACACTTGGGGTAATTGAGATTTGTTTGGATCTTGAGACTTAGAGCTGCTTTCAACATACGAGTCGTAATGTAACACAGAAATCACACCCTAAAACAAGTTTTTGTTTCACATTTAGATTAAAGGGAAATTCCGAGTTTTATACGAGTTGTCTCTTTTTGCGAGCTGTCTTTTTCGTGAGATTTTGCGAGTTGTGTTGTTTTGCGAGTGGTCTTTTGAAATCAGACCACCTCCGGCCTCACATGGAACTTACGTGAATGAACTTACGGTGAGTGAAAAACTAATTAGCTACTTACTTTGTGATCTGCAACAACCACATGAGGTGATGTGGGCAAACACACACAGTGACAAGGGTGTCTTTTCAGCTTAAAGGCCAGTGGTAGTTTGTGGTCACATTCTTTTTTCCTTTCAATCACACCTTTTTCTTCTTTGTCCCAGTCGGGCGCATTCTCCTCAAACTCACTGGAATCACTAGCGGACATTTTACACTGAAACTGGGCCCTGCGTCAATTTCACTTATGCAATGAAGCTATGTTCAGAGACCTAATGTGAACTAACCTAAATGAGCATCAGCACTTCATGCTACTTCCGACAGTCAAATCGTTCAGCACAGCGACCTCGCAGTAATTAATTCGTCAAGCAAGTTTTACAGAGTGAATCTACTGCATAGTTTGCTCACAATAACAGAAATGAGCAATAATTGAACAATGGTGAGTATGAGGACCTTTTTTAACATTCGGCCAGATCAGAATAGACCAAAAAATCGACCAGATTACTAAAATAGATTCTCATTTTTCACCCAAACTTTAGACATGAAATCTCTAATTACTATTTTGAATATAACATCATAATTACGATTCGTAGAACCAGCAGCGTACCGAAAAGCTTGCCAAAATTTTTCAAAAGGTCCCTTTGGCGCTATTTTACTGCATTCATTTCTGGCTGCCAACCCTAAAAAGTTCATAAAATCGCTACATTTTTGGTCAAAACTTTAAAAAAACCCTATAACGGCAATTTTGCATACTTTCTAGAAAGTCTATTCGGCTAATTTTTTCGCCAAATATGGCCGTTCTGGGATTTTTGCACAGCTAGAAAATTTCAAAACGATCTTTTGGATCTTTTTTTACGTCGACCAGATAGATTTCCTGAGCGCTCCCAGAACAATATCAAGACCCTATTTTGAGAATATCCCCCCTTAAGCCGCCGCACATACCACAGTATTTTTAAGCAAGATGACTCAAATTCCCAAACAAGAAAACTTTCAGCTCGCCAGGGAAGGGATCCTGGCTTTTTCGACTCCCTTGCATGAAATTTGATGGAAGATTAAAACACATCATACAGACAGTTAGAACATTTTCAATTAACTCAAGGAACAATGGTAAAAAAAATTAACTTTCAACTCAAAAACGCAGCTGTACACAAAGAAAATGAGCCTCGAATTAGAGAGACTTTTGCTATCTGACGGATTACAACCTGCGACCTCGAGATTTGGAGTCTCGCGTACTTCCCTCTCAGCTACGAATCTTAACTATCGACAAACACTCGCCCCAAATAAAGCAGAATCAAATTCTATAGAATTCCCCATGTGACAGATCGTGACGTGAATAAAGCAAAAGCATTATTTAATGAGCACTTTTAGTGGCGAGTTAGATTGAAAAAAAGTAGAGTCATACTAATGCACTACGCATGTACTGTAATTATACGGAACACATACTAGGTAAACATTCTAATGCCAGGTTTGTATCAACACATTGAGAAAATACTCAAGACAAAACGCTAAAACTCCTCCAAAACATTTGAAATAAATTAAATAAACTAGCGCATGACTCGCACCTAGGGTGCTTCAAAAAAATCGTTGAACGTAAGAGCTTTCTAAAGTATGTAGTAAAACAGCGATAATTAAAACAACTGTGACGATAAACTGGGCTCATCTATCATGGGTTTCCACTTCATTAAAAACTCGATTCGAGCTGAGATAATAAAAAGGCAAAACTGCTACCCTATTATGTAACCTGACAGCACCCCACCATAGGGTTGAGAAATTCAATTTCTATAAGTTGTTTTTAAACCTAAGTTGTTTTTAAAATCATAACAAACGCCATATCTTGGAAACAAAATATATTTGAGCAGTATAAGTTAGAGGCCAAACTTATATCCTGACAATACCCCCTGAATGTACCCTGACAAAAAACTAAATTTTTTTAAACCTAAATTTTTTTGAAACAAGTTTAAAAAATAAAAAAACCACCATTATCTCGATAATCAAAAATATTTGAGCAGTCACACTTGGACGAAAGACTTGCAACCCTCAGTGTACCCTAACAGCACCCCACTATAGAGTTGAGAATTTCAAATTCAGTTAGTTTTTTTTTGTATCTGAAGTTTCTGGAAAAAAAAGAAATCATAAAAAACGCCATATCTCGAAAACCAAGGAGGATTTGAGCAATCATACTTAGACGCCAGACTGTTAACTCCTGATTGCACCCTACTTAAGCGACTTTCAAGTTCGGCTAGTTTTTTAATATCTAATTTTTTTGAAACAATGAAAAAAAATCATATAAAACGCCATGTCTCGAAAAGCAAAAGGATTTGAACATGAAACTTGGACATCGGATTGCAATATATGAGTGTACTCTGAAAGCTCTCCACTCTGGGGTTGAGAATTTCTAGTACGGTTAGTTTGTTTGTCTAAGTATTGAAAAAAAAATCATAAAAAAACACAATATCTCGAAAACAAGGATTTGAGCAGTCATTCATCGACGCCAGTATTGCAACTACTTTATGTACCCCGTCATCGCTCCACTACAGGGTTGAGAAGTTGAAGTTCTCGTAGTTTTTTATATCTAAGTTTTAGCAAATGAAAATTGAAAAAAAATCATAAAAAACGCCATATCTCGAAAACCGAAAAGATTTGAGCAGTCATACTTGTACACCAGATTCGCAAACCCTGAGTGTACCCTGACAGCAACCAATTAATGGATTGACAAAATCAAACTTAATTTAATAAAATGTGAAACAAACATTTCTGTAGTTTTACGAAGCGAATGTAGGAAAAAGGCATTCATGCTCCAACAGATTTCAAAACGTCTACTTGATTGAACATTTCAACCTTTGCAATGCTGTGACCTTCTGAAAGACCAAAATATCCACTTCTTAAACATGTGCCAAGTGAAATTTCTGAAGCATTTAAACATACGAGAGAGCTTAAACGTCTAAAGATTCTTTCGTTAAACATGCAAAAAAAATAATGCGTTGAAGAAGCTTAAACATGTCAACATAGGGATTTCTCAAAGATGTGACACATGAAACGCCAATTGAAAAATAGATAGATTGTTAAATTAGTTATTAGGCAAGTCCACCGAGTCCAAAATCAAATAAAAAACAGTTGATTGCTTTGAAAAGATATATGAGGTAGTAAAAGTAACTAAACCATACAAAATCGGCTGAAACACTTATGCAAAAAATAATAAAATTTACCGAAAATTCGAATGAACCCGTGTTGAAAAACTCAGAAGAGATTAGCCCACGCTATGAAAACTAAGCAGAAAAAAAATACCAAAAACAGTATTCCGAAAACTATTTCAGAGGGCAGAAAAACTGCCGCCCGCAAAAGGACAATTTTCGGCGGTAATTTAACCGAAGGCCGTTGCCTTCCCTTAAAATTGGCATTTTCTCAGCGCAAAACAAATATCTGAACATAGCCAACAGGCAGTTGGACAGTCATGAACGCAAGAATACAGAAAGTAAAACACTGACTTGTTTTATGAAAAACTTTCCAATTTCAAAAAAATATGGCCTTTAAGTTTCTTGAAACTAAAGAAAATTCAAGCTTGACACTCATTTGATAAAATTAATCCAATTTAAGAAAAATGGATTAAAAAAATAATTTTTTTTCACTACGCTTGGAAATCTGAAATATTAAATCCTGTTTCGAAACTACTAGTGGTCGATCACATTTTTCGTGACTTTTACACATTTGATGTTCAATAGTGGAGTTTACCATTCATTCAACAAAGGAAATGAAGTGAACTGAAAAAGAAATCAAAAGCCAAGCCATGAAAAACCAAACTTCAGCGTAAACAAATCTTCAGAATTTAGAGATTTTCCTTAAAAAAAATACCAAGACATAAATAAGAGTATTCACTACGTTCAAGACTCAAAAATAAGAAGCTGTTAACCGCACATAAATTCTATTCCCAATTGTTTGTGTTAGCTAAATAAAAGCGTAAACAAGGATAACCGGTAATTGTGCAAGTAGCACAGAATGTTCCGAACATAGTATTAAAAAACGAACAAAAAAAATTTCTTCAAATTAGTGTCGCTTTTTCTGTGTGGTCTGATTAAAACGAAAAATAGAACTTAGGCAGATTCGTTAATCATAAATAGTAAAATAGCCCAATTGGAAAACAATTTTTGTAAAAACATGACTCGAGCAAAAAAGTTGCAAAAAAGAGTAAGACTGGCGCTTAAAAACTCCTAAAACTTAACTCCAGTGAAACAGCTTAAATTAAGCACGAATAAGCTTTTAAGCCTGCTTAGCCTGACCTTATTAGCCTAAAATCCAAACTGAAAAAGCTTCAATATAATGGATCATTCGAACCAATCCGATGATTAGTTGTGGTACCTGATTTTGAATACAAAGTTCCTCATTATTTTTCAAATGGTCAGAACAAAATATGGATATGAAAAAACTCGAACCGCTCATATTCAAAAAGCACATTTGCTCGAAAACGCCAATATATTTGTTTTATTATTATTAGCCCCCGGTCTTGCCCAATGCAGTACCAACCGTGGGGGAGGTTGATGTCATCCATTTGGCTTCAGCCGGTCCCACCTTGAGAAAGCGGATGTTACTGTGAGTGTGACCCCTCCAACCGTGACCAATATATTTGCTCGAAGTATTCACCGTAACTCGTTTATACATCATAGCATTGGTTTATAATGACAATGAAGCTCTTGAGGCATGTTTAAACAAAAAAATAATTTTTGTGTCGCGCACTCTTCAAATTTAAAGTATTTTGGCACCGAAGCTACTTAAAGAAAACCTCGGATGACGGCTGTTCAACTAAAAAACGAAAAAATGGATTTTGCTAAATAGAAGCGTATCTCGAGAGCAGGAATTCAAATCAAACCAAGTACTTGACTTTTTTGTCAGTACAAACATGTCTGAAAATCACTCGCTGATGTATGTATCTGCCACTTACGGTTGACACTTTGATCAAATCTGTTGACAATTATGAGCCTTCGAAGTTTGTGTTATACGTTTGTTTAAGCTTACTTTTTGTCTGCTTAACAACTTCTCTAAAAGAGTCAGTGAAAGATTTGGTAGCTTAACTTATGATCAGTTCAAATTAAACGACTAATTCTGCCCACTTTGGCAGACGTAACGACCAGTTTGGGACGACAACGGCCTTGACTCGAGTCCCCGCCCAGAAATACTATGCATGCAATATTCTTTGAGTTAACAAAGCGTCCTTGCTAAAAATTATGTCATCGAAAAGCTTTGGCCCAATTCTATACCTGAAATGGAATGAAAAAACTTCAGTACAAACATTTAGACAATTTCAACAGCTTATGTACATATTTGAAACATTTGTACAATAATTCCTATAGACTACAAATCAGACTTGAAAATTATATTTACATGAGAAATGTAATTGAGAGGACACCATTCTATGGACAATTGTACAGAAGATAACTTTATTTGAAGTCAATAGTGTTTAGGAAAGTTATTGACTCAACTAGCGACTCATATTTTCTACTGGTGGTCTCGTTCTCAGCTCGAAACAGACGCAATTAATGCCGTCTGCATCTTCGCCCGTATAACCTGTGACGCAGTCGAACCCTCCGAAATTGCAACAACTCTCTCCGTCTCTTCCACATGGTATGCACATCAGACAGGATCCCACATCTAGTTTTGTATCCGGACAACAAGCATCCAGTCCGCTATTGAGTGTTGGTAATTTACAGTCTAGTGCTTCCACACATGGTAGCAAACACTCGCACAAACCAGCATCGCCTTTCGCGTTTCCGCAAATGTGGAAATCTTGGCAGAATCCTTTGGCCAGAATTAATTTTCTGATCATGAGGATGATCAAGATTAAAACTAGGTAAGCGCACATTATGATGATGATGATTAGAGCTATTGAGATTGAGAGGTCACTGCCTGGCGGAGGGTCTTTGTTGACCGGGATATCTTCATCTGGATTTGACATGGTGCAAGTAATATCTGAAAAGAGAAAGAACTAATGATAAAACAACAAAGACGCGACATAAGACGCATTCATCAATTCAATCATTCATTCATTCATTCATTCATTCATTCATTCATTCATACATACATACATACATACATACATACATACATTCATTCATTCATTCATTCATTCAATCATTGCTTCAATTTCCACACATTCGTGATTTCTTGACTAGAACTACGAAAAAAGCAACTTAAGGTACTTTTTACCAATCAATAGTAATTTTTTAAAACCAATTTCCACAGAAAGAACGACAAAAAATTCTACTTCCCGATTAAAAGTATTTACTTGCTCTCGCAAGTAAAATCATATAGTCAACCCAGATTTTTTCAGAAAATCAAGACGTTTGAAGAGCTCCAAATCATAAAACTATTTTTGAATCACAAAAGAGTAGTCTCCATTAAAGTACCAAAACTTCATGCCTATTTTTGCTCAGGAAAGTTTGAGGCCAAGGTTTGGCATGATATTAATAAGAATTGATCCGATGTTGCAAAAACCCCACTAATTTTGAGGCCTTTTTATCCAAAAATTGTCACAAGCACTTAATCAAAGACAATAAGAAACCAACGATGTGGAAAAAAATAAAATCGTCATCGGTACTTTCAGACCATTATCATGAACACGTCTAAAGATTCAGTTTTAATTGCAAAAGAACCGGCTAATGTCTGCCTAAGCTGATATAGACAAAAAATAATGAAATAACAGCTTTTAATCATTTAGAATCACAATGAATAATCAGATAATGCAACTTCATTGTCATTCGACGATATTAAGCTTTTCTTTGGAACCAAAAGTGAACTTGAACTTCTATTCAATTTTGGGAAAGTGTTCATACACTGCCTCGCCCACCACTTTCTCAATTGTCCTCAAGGTATTATCACACTCCGCCTCTATTTCTGGATTCACGTCTTCTTTTAATTCTGCCAGAACCGGTACTGCCTCCGGATAGTACATCGAGTATTCTTCCAAGAGTCGATTCGCAATGCTCTGGATTGCAACCATCGCTGCTCTCCTAAGACGCGAGTTCGATTCCCGACCAAGATCCAAAATTTGTCTATGTACCACATTTTTCGCATCTGCATCTTGACAAGCGAGCATCATTTGTGATGTACAAGGGCAAATGACTTCCAAAGAAAGCTCATCAAAAGCTTTTGAATCCAAGAAAAACTTCCACTGATTTGCAACTAGAGGCATGAACGTCGAGACAAACTCTGGGGTAGTGAAAATTCCATTAATATCATGCGACATGACGTTAGTTACACATTCTAGGATATTTCGATTCGAGAACAAAATTTCGCTGGACGTGAACTTTTCTTCTTGGGTTGGTTCAACCGATAACCTCTCTTTCAATGAAGAAACGTATGTTGGAATGAAGAGCAGCATTAACCCCTTCAAGCGGATTGATAACATCTTCAGCAGATGAAAGAAAGTTACTTGCCGTCTTCCAGTATTTTCATCGTCCGAAGTAGCCCAGTTGAATGTTTTCAGCAACATTTGTCGCACAGAAGATTCTGAATTTTTCAGGACAAATTCAATGAAAGGTTCGAAGCATTTCATTTCAGCTTCTTTGAACTCATCTGAATTGAGGAACTTTTCCGCTTGCGCATCCATTTGCAGTTGAACTTTGCGGCGCTTTTCCGCAAAAACTTCACATTTGCGCTTTTTGCGTTTTTCTCCAGCAACAGAAGTTTCATTTTCTGGAACATTACTTTCTTTGTCAGTAGCCTTTGTCGCTGCGCTCACATTTCTTGACTCGAAAACAAACTCGCGCAAATTCAAAAACATCGTCAATACTTGCGTTATTTTAGTTTGATTCAACTCCAATTCAGATCTATTGTTTTTGTCCAAATGCAACTTGACAATTTCGGTCATCTTTTCAATCTTTTTCAGGAACATTGTTGTCATTTCGCAGTCTTTGAAAACACTCTCACAAACTGTTATGAACATCGGTGCAACAACGCGCATTTTCAGCGAAACTAGGTGTTCGATTACAGCCGCACTTTCCTTTTTTAACTTGAACTCTTCTTCGCAATCAGAAAGATCGATCAAAAATTTTGTAATCTTTGCCAAAAACGGACTCAAAAGTTCCGCAATATTGTCAAACATTGTAAGCAGGCAAAGCAGCACACTGTCAAACAGCATTTTGTTCGCAAAAGTTTTGCAACTTTTGATGTCTAGGACAAAGTGGGCAACGTTTGGAAGGTACGGCAAGAAAGCCTGTTTCACTGATCTTATAACTTCGGCTATCAAAGCGCACACTTGAACTCGAATATTACATACGCTGCCCTTAAGGTCCATTAGTTGGATGGCTTTTTCGGTTAAGAGGCCAACTTTTGAAGGACAAACTTTCATGATTTTTATCAAAGTCACCAAAACGTACTGACAAATTCTGTCATTTTCATGCAAAATATGAGTCAATAAGAGATCATACAAATAATCAATTTGAGTCGCATCCAATCCATCCAAAAATTGGGATCCAGGTCGAGAAATTCTGATGTTCAGAAACTGCAGAGATCTCTGGACTTCCACGTGTTTAGCCGAGCTGAGCAGTTCCGAGAAGACTTCGAAGAACAAAGCATCGTCAAACAGAACATCAGCAGCAGCTACAGTTTCTTTCAACTTCAGGCCGACTGTCTTTGCAAACTCGGCTTCTAGTTTGACCTTGCTATTGGGAGACGCACTCTCTTGTCTTACGTTCTTCAGAGTTTCACAAGTTTGCAATGTGAACAACTGTGATAATACACCTCTGAAGCAGTGATTATGTGATGTGTCATTCTGTAGCCGGACATTCGTGAGTTCGAAAACGAACTGGTTCGAATGTACAACAACTGGAACCAAGGACAATATTTGAATTGCAGTAAGCCTCTGAACTTTCCTGGGAAGCTTTTTCAGCGATGTCAGTTGGTATGATTGTAACTCTTCAATCCTACCGTTCAAGAAATACTCACAAGCAGTCAGAAGCTTGGATAGTAAAGTCAACGATGTTTTCAGAGAGTACTTTTCGCAGATTTGCGAAACAACCGAAATTGATGTTTCCACTTCGGAGCTATTGGAACTCTTGGTAAAAATATGCAAAACCAACTGCCAAAAATAACCACCTTGGTCCAATTTTGGATGTCCAATGCATGTATCGATCAACAAAATCTGTCTATGACTTGGTTGAGTTGTTACTGCTTCAACAAAATGCTGCAAAAAGTTGCGCAATATGAAGGGCTTTTCTTGAGCTGAATCGATTAAAGGAATCAACAGTTTTCGCACCGAAGACAAAATTAGCCTAAACGAGAATTCGTCCTCGCGAGTAGCCAACGCATCACAGATTGCAGTAAATATTTTCACAGCTCTTTCGTGAGAATCAAAATGTGCATTTTGACATACATGTTCGTATTGGGTAATAACCAATTCGAAACATTGACCTTTAATGTTCACATCGTCGAAACGGCGAATTAGACTAAGCATTAAATCAGTGTCTAAAATTTCTTCAGTCATTGAATATCTCGAGAAAAAATTACTCAATACACCAACAGCGAAAACCATCACGTGCTCCATTTCTGGATCTGAATTGTCAATAACATGCAATCTCTCCAAATGTAAAATTAACGCATTAACTGTCCCGATCACCTCTTTTGCGTCTTGAGGGCTGAAATTTCGGTCACATGCGAAGTGCAGAAAGAGCCTTATTTGATCCAGATTTGTACTTGCAGCACAGAACGAATCAACTCTCGATCTTCTTGGTTTTGCATTGGTATCATACTCGGGCAATCCGAGACATTTATGGAGCATTTTCGAGTTCAGAGGCAGGTTGTCAACCACTCTTTTCACAGTGGGCAAGTTAACGGCATCCTTCCTCAAAAATATCAGTCGCGAAAACAGCTCGTGTTGAGTGCTGATACTTAATGCTTTGAACAAATCAGGAGAAATGACCGCCAAGAAGGCCTCAACTAAGAAAACTGGAGACTCCTTGTCAAGTCCTATCAGAAATGATTCGAGGAACATGTCAAAATTGCAATCATTTATGCCTTTCGCGATCTCACAGCAGATAGATCCGTTGCAGAGTCTCTTCTTTTTCACTTCATTTTTCAGCAAGTTGCTCAGAAAAACCAGAATTTTCTCATTCCAAATTCCGTATATCAAAACTGGAACGGAAATTTTCCCACAAATATCTGATTTTTCATTTTCTAAAACATTGATCAAAGTTGTGACAACTGAAGGCATTTCTGAAAATTTTTGCATTAAATTTTTTAACCAGGTGCGATCGGCTGCTATTTCTTGCTTCAGCTCAACTATCTCTTGTAGTATGCAATCACCAACATCGCCAAACTTGTGCAGCATTACATTTTCGCAAAAACCAAGCAACGAAATGCGCACCTTTGACCGCTTTGAGTTGAGACCTGCCAAAATTGGCCACATAAAATTGTTGAAATTAACTTGAAACTTCTTTTTTGATCCAAGCTGCGTCAAAATTTTCCAAATGGCAACTTTGAGTTTCTCTTCGTTGGATTTAGAGCCGAAACAATCAGCAGGAAGAGTGGACATTATTAGCAACAGGCTAATGAATTGGTTCATTCCAAGAGTAGCTCTCACATACGAAAGTTTACCCGGCAGACAACAGACAATTTGGGAAAAACAAAACAAGAGAACTTGCTCACTTTTTATAAGCCCATCCATATTCGAAACGCATAAAAGCGATTTTTGGCTTGAGTAATTTGCAAATACAGAACAGAACACATATTCGATCAATGAATTGAAATTTCCCAAATCGTAGTGAGGAATTTTGGCTGCAAATTCTAGGAAGTCAAATTCGTTTTCAGCTGAAAAACTGACAATCAATTTACACAGGGTGTTGAAATTTTTCAGGTCCATGAGGAAACCGTTCTTCAACGTGAACACCGAGAGGAAAGCGAACTCCAATTGATGATTGCCAGCTGCACTTTCGGATGCCCAGTTCCTAAATGGGAAGTTATTTCAGTTTGTTTTACACTACTAAGATCCACTTAACAGCCACCCCCCCCCCCCCCCCCCACCTCAAATCTAAGCAGAAAACATTCAAGCCAAAAAAAATCCAAAAAACTTCAAAACAGGGGCGGATTTAGGGGGGCACTCCTCTCCCCCTCGGGGATTCGACCTGCTGCGACCCGATTCGACCCTTTATACTATTTCGAGACATCCATTTTTGGCTGACGGACGCTAAAATTTTTTAAAGGTGCCTTCGGCGCCAATATATACAAAGTTTGATTGGGGAGCGCTCGTCGATAAACGCTTTTAGGCACTTTGGTCAAAAAAAGCCTAAAACGCCTTTTATGGCCTGTTTTTTCAAAATTTTGCTTGCGGGCAGAAAATTTGGCCACAACAGGTTTTTAGTACATTGGGAGAGCTGGGAAAATCAATTTGGACGAAAAAAAGGTCGACAAAATTGTTGAAAATCCGCCTCCTCCCACAAGAAAATCCTCGCTCCGCCCCTGCCTCAAAGTGATAAACGTTTTTAGTCCTTCTAACCGTCAAAACACACACGCGCACGAAAGAAATTAAAAATCAAACGCCGCGATATGGGGCCACTAAGTCAATCTAATATAGGCCAAAAATATCATGCCGAACTAAGAGGAAAAAACAAACTACTGAGCTTTGTCGTCAAGCACGGGTGCTACCGCTGCATCAAATGCGCAGAATGCTCCTCGATTTTTCATTAAAGCAGGAAAAACACGTGTAATATTTTCAAGTACAAACTCAGTGAACAAAACTATTTTCGGGAAAGGTCTAGTACCCGATTGCAACACACATGCTATCGCAAGTGCGAAAAAATCATCACGACCTATAAGTGACAATCACTTAGTTCCTTTACTTTAATGTGTTTCTATTGATGACACAGAGGCGAAGTTGCACTGCATATACAAGCAAAAACATGACTGATAATGCTACTGGGAAAAACTGAATGAGTAAAATTTTGAGTCTCTAAAAATTCAAATGACGCACGCACACCACAATTTGAAAAAAAAAAGAAATGACCAAATAACATGCCTCAACTTATAGAGCAGTCCATGGAGCAGTAATCACAGGAAAAAATTGAATGCAATGAAAATAAAATGAAATTTTTTTTTAATTTGAGATTTTTTTGTGAAAATCATCCCCCCACACGCCATCTTAAGTACAAAATGATACATTTCGCTCCTAGTAACCAATCAACTATGGCAAATAAACTTCCTTCAACAATTTGGAACGATTTCTATGACGGATTAAATCTCCACTTACGCATTAATAGTGCGAAATATATCGCGCGTTAATTGTCCCAAATTGGCAAAAATGGCAATTTTTAAACTCCCATAACTTCACGAAAAATAGACACAGGTGAAATATTTTTCCAAATTTAAGCTCAGGACAACAATACTTTTTGAATGATATAAAAAAAAATCCGTCAAAAATGGCTAATTAAAAAGTCGAAATTTGTCTGAAGAAAAAAAAAGACCCCGAGCACAAATACTCCGTTACTTTCGTTACGAATATCGGAACAATAATAAACCGTGTTAAAATCCTTAACTTTGGCTGTACTTAATAGCTGGTTATTGATCAAAGTGAACACTTTCAAAATGAACACATTTTATCGCAACAATATTTGCGTCGCAACAATATTTGCGACTAAGGTTGGAAAAAAAGATAGTTCATACTATAACACAAGCATTGCTTGTGTAAACATACATTTGATTTTAATTGGCGCAGGGAAGTTGTAAACCTACAAAATGGAAACTTACAGCAGTTTTTCAATGTTAGCAAGTCGCATGTCACAATCGATATTCAGCATTGACTTCAAAACTAGAACTTCATTCGATGTCCGTTGACTGGATAAAAACTGTCCAACAATTTCAGCGAACGGATCTTTCACTTTTTTGCTCTCGGAACATTGGAATACAAAATTGATACACTTCTTCCAAACCAATGCCATCACTTCTCCGTTCATGTTCAGTGGAGCAACTAAATCATTTTCGAGAACAAACTTCAAAATTTCGGTTGCCAGTTTTAAAGAATCGTCTTTGAAACATTCCAACAGTGTATAAAGAGCTGTATTAGTCAGTGCAGTCGAATTTGATTTGTGTCGTGCTTTGATTATTTCAAACGCCTCTCGCCTCGCTTCCAAAGTTCCCTTCAGAAGATTCACAACTGAGCTATTTTCAGTTTCACCGCTGCTGCCTTTCAGAACCTTTTTAACCAGCTTTCCCAGAGGTTTTTGATACTGTGAATCACAGTTTAGTTCCTTCACTGCTTCTTGGAACTGCACTACATTTTCACTGGCCAATAAATTCACAAACTCGAGATTCTCCTCAGGCGCAGAAATGACTACTTTCAGAATTTCTGACAATAAGTGTGATGGGGTTAAAACTTTTCTGCTATCACACCTAAGATAGTTCAAGAATTCAAGAACAAGTCTTCTATAACAGACCAACTCCGCAGTTTTTGGCTCTTGAAGACCCGAGCAAATCAGAACTTCTAAGTAATTGAACACTGATGAGTTCACTTTCTCAAAATCCAAAACTACAGAATTGCAATCTTCCAAGCGCAAGAAAAGCTGGGCTGCAAAGTCGCTTTCAATTCTGAATGCTTGTTGCTTCGACAAAGTCGACAGCACAAACCGTATGAAGACTTCTAACACTTCGTTCTGCAATTTTGTTACAAATAAATTGAACATTTTTTTTAACAAAGCGAATTCAAATTGCAATTTGTTGATCAAAACAGCCATCACTCCGATTGATAATTTTTGCAATTGAGGATGCTTGGACTTGATCAACTTTCGCACAAGTTCTAAAATTGTCGACAATTTTGACTCCTTGATTTGCTTCTTGGACTCTAGACAACCGAGTATAGTTGCCATTAAATAGGAATTGAAATACTCACACGTACGCTGGTTGTGCTCCTAAAAACATATTTTACAATTACCACAGATTTTTCTGGTTTACAAGATAGAATCTGAGCAAAATTAACCAACCGAAATGCAAAAAAAAACATCTGAGACTATTGCAAAGTATGAAAAACCTATGTATCTGGTAATTGTGAAAATTGAATTTAGTGTAAATTAAGTCCATAAAATTCCGCAACCCTCACAGACGCTGAACTTATTTAACCATTAGTACAGACAAATTTTTCAGTATATTTTTTTTTATTTAATCAGGTTTGCTAGCATGAAATAAATTTGCAACTCAAAAAGTCACACATTAGGTCACAGCTAACCATTACCAATGACGGCAAAAAGAAATCAACTTAGGAACAGAATTAAACACTAGCGATCCAGTGCAGAACTTTCTAAATGATTACCGCAAGTCATTAAATTATAAGCAAGAAAAAATTTGAAATAAATTTCATCGGTGAATATGATTTAGCAAATTTTGCATCAAAATACTTAAAGAGACTCTAGGCAAACAACCATTAAGAGCACAAAATACCAATGACAGCGTGTAAAGATAGTCAAACGAAGATTATCAAAGCATAATTTAAAAAATGCTCAGACACCCTAAATTTTTTATTCAAAAAGTTACATTTATATCTCCCAAAATCCGAGAAAAATTTCAAGCTAGACAAACTAACAACACAATTTAAAATATTGCCACAGAAACTAAGCGTATTCAACAACACAGAGCACCGTAATATATAAATTAACCATTTAAAAAATCGTTTAAGTTTTTTTTCTGATAAAGAAACATCAATTTTTCTACCAGAGAAGAAAATACAATGTCAATAGATTTATGAGAAAGCTCTATAGATCGAATAACGAACTAAAGATAAAGCTGGTTCAGCGATAAAGATGACCATAAGAAAAGCCAATCAATCAGCATTCGAACTCAACATAAGTTTTATTTCGTAATTGTTATTTTTTTCTGAAAAACATAATTTAAGTTGCAGTTGTTAATTAGCAGAAGAAGCAAAACTTAAATAATCATACAAACTTAAAACACTAAAACGTACTCAGAAAACCAGATGAAGATGATCAATCGAACCACAATTAAAAAATTGATTTCAAAACTTTTTCGTGAAACAAAAAATAAAATGGTTTATTTCCAAACCGAAGCAAGTAACGGCTGTCACTTTTTGAAGCTATAGAAAGGACTCAGAAGTTGAGCTGAAATAACAGAGCAAAAACAATGAGATGATTTGTCATAACGAAAAGCCTGATTTTTAAAAGTTTTCAAGAAAATCATACCGTGTACGTTTTCCGAAATTTATATTCTATTTCAACAAAACGACAATCAAAATGATAGTGATCAACTAGCACTCGATACAACGATAAATATTAAAAAAAAACTGTCAAATGACTTCTTTGGAAAAAATGAAAAAGGAAAGGAGCAAATGACTGAAAACCTTGTTTTGTGAAAAACATTGAAGAAAAACCGCTGCAAACTTGGTGAAACAAGATTACATGGAAAAATCAACTTTATCAACTTATAACGCTGCAAAAGGTGAAACAAGATTTCAAGGAAAAATCAAACTTAATTAAAATCACATGATATTAGAAAAGAGCAACTAACTAAACAGCTGCCTGTTGAAACCTCAAGTAACAAACCATTGAATAGTTTATTTTGTTAAAATATGAACATGGCTGCAAAGCTTTGAAAAAAAAATCATTGCCAAAATTCTAAAGATTGAAAATGGAAAAAAGCAGTGCAAAGCTTTTGTGAAAAAAAATTGCAAAACCTTCTTTAACAAAAAATTAAACGAAAAAAAAATGCTGCAAAAAGCTTGTTTTCACATAGGAAAACAATACCTGAATAGTGAAATTTAAAAAATATATTTATGAAAGGAGCCGATTCAACAGTGGAGAATCATTAAAAACTATCAAGGAAACTTTTTTGGAATCTCTAAAAAATTTACAAAAAAATCAAAAGAATGAACTTTCTTCAAAATGAAAAAATCTGTAGTAAATTATCTAGAAAAACAAAAAAAACGTCAAATGGCTGTTTTGAAAACAACTTGAATATGAAATAAAACAAATCAGCGCAACTTGAAGTTTGAAAAACAAAAGAAAGAAACCACTAGAAACATTTTCACTGCAAAATTTTTCTCAGCAAAGGATGAAATCACTACACAACTTAAGAAAAGAAAGAAACGCTTTGAAACAAAGTAAAGAGGACAAATCAGTGGTTAATTTTATAGAAATTAAATAAATTTGAAAATAACAAATCACTAGCTAACATTTTGTTGAATAGAAAAACGTAAAAAATCAGTGGAAAGCCTTTGAGATTGAACAAGAACAGTGTTAAACACCATGACGCCCAAGAACTAGCAAAGAGGAATTCGTAAAATGTTACCTTTAAAAAAAGACAGACAAAACAAAAAAATCGGAAAATATGCACGAGTTTAAATTAGTTAAATTTTTTAAAGAATTCCAAATTGTATTGATTCAAAACTGGAGAATCATTAAAAAATTATCAATGAAACGTCTTCAGAAGTCTCTAAAAAAATTTATGAAACAAATTTAAAAAAAAACGAATTTTCTTCAAAATGAAAAAATCTGAGAAAAATTATCTAGAAAAAAAAACGTCCAATGGCTGTTTTGAAAACAACTTGAATATGATAGGAACAAGTCAGCGCAACTTGAAAAATAAAAAACAAAAGGAAAACGTCACTGCAAAGGAAGTAATCACTAAGAAATGACGACAACGCTTTGAAACAAAGTAAAGAGAAATCAGACGTCAATTTTATAGAAAATAATAAAATCTTAAAATAACAAATCACTAGCTAACAATTTGTCGAATAGAAAAAGTAACAAACCAGTGGAAAGCCTTTGAGATATAACAAGAAGTGTTAAGCAGCATGACGCTCAAAAACTAGCAAAGAGGAAAGATTTATCATTTGAAAACAAAAAGAAAAACCGAAAAACGGAAATAAAGCAGGTGTTTGAATTAGTTGACTTTTTAAAAAGCTCCAAATTGTAATTGACTCAACACTGGAGAATCATGAAAAAATTATCAATGAAACTTCTTCAGAAGTTTCTAAAAAATTTACAAAAAATCAAAGAACTGAATCTTCTTCAAAATGAAGAAATACGATGTAAATTATCTAGAGAAATATAAAAACGTCCAATGGCTGTTTTAAAAACAATTTGAAAATGCGCAACTTGAAATTTAAAAAACAAAAGAAAGAAACCTCAACACATTTTTTTCTGCAAAATTTTTCACAGCAAAGGAAGAAATCACTGCAAAACTTGAGAAGTGAAAGCAACGCTTTGAAACAAGTAAAGAGGACAAATCAGTGGTTAACTTTATAGAAATTAAATAAATTTAAAAATAACAAATCACTAGCTAACAGTTTAATGACTAGAAAAAAGTAACAACCAGTGGAAAGCCTTTGTGATAGAACAAGAACAGTGTTAAGCAGCATGACGCTCAAAAACTAGCAATGAGGACTTCGAAAGATTTAACATTTGAAAACAAAAAGAAAAAACCGAAAAAACGGAAATAATACAGGCATTTGAATTAGTTGACTTTTTAAAGAGCTCCGAATTGTATTGACTCAACACTGGAGAATCATGAAAAATTATCAATGAAACTTTTTCAGAAGTCTCTAAAAAATTTACGAAAAAATCAAAAAAACCGATTTTTCTTCAAAATGAAAAAATCTGAGATAAATTATCTAGAAAAATAAAAAAAAAACGTCCAATGGCTGTTTTGAAAACAACTTGAATATTAAAGGAACAAATCAGCGCAACTTGAAATTAAAAAAAAACGAAAGGAAAACATCACTGCAAAATTCTTCACTGCAAAGAAAGAAATCACTAAGAAATGACGACAACGCTTTGAAACGAAGTAAAGAGAACAAATCAGACGTCAACTTTACAGAAATTAATAAAAACTTTAAATAACAAATCACTAGCGAACAATTTATTGGATGAAAAAGTATCAAACCAGTGGAAAGCCTTTGAGATAGAACAAGAAGTGTTAAAACAGCATGGCGCAAAACTAGCAAAGAGAACTTCGATACATGTTACCCTTGAAAAAAAGACAAAAAATCAAAAAATATGCAGTTGTTTGAAATTATTAAAATTTAAAGAGTTCAAAATTGTATTGATTTTGAGCTTTTGAAAACTTTGCGCCAGAGTCTTATCAACTTCAGAGCAAAATCTGAAAATTTTATAGAATAATTAGTAAATCAGCCGACGAAATCAAGCCTATAAATTAAACTTCAGCCAAAAACTTGGTACTCAAAAGAACAATTTCGGCAAATTAAGCTTGATCCAAATTATGTACAGCAATCATAGTACCCCTGAGTGATATATATGTACTGATGCAAGGTGCTAAACATAAACTGGAAAAACTATCAGCAAAAATCATATCAAAAATTTTAAGTTATAGTTTTAAAGTAGACATAAATTTAACGTATGAAGGTAATTTTGAAAAAAAAATCGCAGATAAATGAATGCAAAATTTACTTTAAAAATTTTCTAAACAGTAACAAAGCCGAAAATACTTCAAAAGAAACCATTCAAGTAAAAAAAACTCAAAAAAATGGAGCTTTAAATTTAAGTTCTCCTCTCCCTCAAAGCGCACACACAAATAAAATGTTTGCTTGCCAAACAGCGCAATATGAGGCCACTTAATCGATATAAAACAGGCCGACACTAAAAAATCCGAAAAAAAAATTTCAGAACAAAAACCGAGTTGGCAAAGTACAACTACAAAACCAAAATGAATTACCAATTTCGAAAACTAGGCGCAATTAAAAAACAAAAAACTCAATAATTGCAAGAGGGGACTATGATTTGCAACAGAGAGGAGAGAGTGCAAAGAGGTGAACGAGTCTAGGAGTGCGTCGTGAACAAATTTATTTATGGGTGAAAAAGTATAGTGCCCAATTGCAATACCCTTGCTTATCGCAAGGCTACTAAGAAAGAACAAACTATTGCGAAGCATTTTAGATATAATTCAAGAAAACAAATCACTGCTAACCTTTTTTTAACCAAAAAGATTAACTAATTGAAGCGGAAGCATTTCATATCTCAATTTCAAATCATTAAGAATTTTTAGCGTTTTTATTTTCTTAATGCCGATTTGGATGAAGAAAACACTTTTTTTGAAGAAAAAGGAGTATTTTTAATTGAAAAAAATCAAGTTTTCTTAAGAAGAATCTGGAGAAATCGTTTTTAAGTGATTTCTTAGCAGAACATTAGTTGAAAGAATGTTATTTAAGAATTACAAAAAAAAAATTTAAGGGACGAAGTGAATCACTAAGTTAAAGTAGTTGAAATGAAGATTGATTTTTCAAATAAACTTCAAACACTACGAAGAAGGCTACCAATGACGAACTCTAAGAGTACATGTGCTGTCAATTCAGCATATTTGAAGCTGGTAAAACAAATTAATTTCCTGCTGAAACTGCTCTACCGAACTAAACTTGACACAAAAACTCAATAGTCGTAGGCCCTCGGGCCGGTTTATTTAACCTTTTCCCATAGCCTCTATAACACCTGCAGAGCAGGAAGGAGGCTTTTCAGATTAGCTGAAGCCCCGCTGAGCCCATGCAGCAGTAACAAGTGAAAAAGTTCGAGAGGGGCTTCAGCTTCCAAAACAATATCTGAAGACCAAAACAAGAGTCGTTATAAAAAAATACATAGCCCAAAATGGAGTATAGTATCGAGAAATTAACGCCAAGATCAAAAAGAAATATTCTAAAAAAACTCGAATTTGAACTTTAAAATTATCTATAAAAGATGCTAGGTTAAAATCAGCATGCTAGGTGAAAATCCCAAAACATTTGCACAGCATAGCTATGTATGAATAGACTACAGCTAAAACATGTGAAGATAGCGTATAAATCTTAACATAGGCAAAGCGAACATCGCGCCTCTTACGATACCACACATATATAGGATTGCAAGCTAGCAAACAGGAATGAAACAAAAGCCATTATGCCAACAAAAAAAACATTCCACACAGAAATATCATTGGAAGCTAGCAGACAGGAATGAAACAAAAGCCATTATGTCAAATAAAAAAGGAAAAAACAATATCTTTCATTAAATAACATGGATGCTCTTCAGAATGCCCGCATCTTAATGCTAGAACTTGTCAAGCTACCCAGATATACCATTGCATAAGAACTTTCCGAATATTCAACCCCGCCACAATGGGAAAACGGCTAAAAACACATTAATATTCACGAAGTCATAATGATACACAGAGGCGAAGCAGAGAGAAAAAACGAACACTTAGCATTGCAAGCTACCAATTAGACAGTGTGGAAATGATTCGACTGAATTAATTCCAACTCACTGTTTATTTGGTAGCTTGCAATGCTACGCTTTCGTTATATCGCTAAGTATTTTCGAGCGTTCACTAAGCCAGCAACGCTTGGTTAGACATCAATTGATCCGAAAAAATTATGCCACAGAAAATTACCATAAAAAATTTAACGATTAAAAAGTTTCAACTTTTTAAATACTGCCGAACAACTTCATATATTCAAATCGAAAAATAATCAATTTTTGTCCTTAAACCGATTCAAAGAAAGTTCATTAAACCGACAAAACATGAGCCAAATCATTTAGGGCGAAAAAATTCTAAGCGAAAAAAACGCTAAAATATACCAGCCAGGTAAAGTAAATTTAAAAAACTACATGCGTTTATCAACGACACTTGAAATAACAATGAAAACTGCTGACCATACAAAAAAAATCGTGGTGCGGCAACTAAGCTGACACTATCTCTATAGTCCAACTATTCAATTTCCCTGAAAAAAATCAATTCCAGGCACTGAAAACAAAACAAGATCCGACCGGGACGACATCCAGATCATAGGGTGCAAAAGCAACCGCATTAGCACCCGGCCAAATAGAAACGGCCTGGAAGTTGCTAAGAATTGATAATAAAAAACATAGTTTCAACGCAGGCTACATTCGAAAACGTCAAAAACTCTAGAACCAACAAAATGAATAAGGCTAAGGGTTCTGAAACAAAAACATGCCAAGACAATAGAACGTGATAAAAAATATTGGATGATCATGTACCCATCGGTAACAAAGCCGAAAAAAAACTTATCAGAAAATCTTTAAGCCGAAAAAAAATCAACAAGACTTATGACAATCAACGTTAAAACACACAAACAAAAACAAATTTTTTTGTCAAATGAACAATGAGGCTACTAAGCCGTTATAATTTAGAACGAAACCTATGAAGTACAAAAAAAGTAAAGAAAAGGCCGAAAAAAGATGATTAAGTTATTAAGTCCCCCTCAACTTCAAAACAGACACAAACTTTTTTGGCTCCTCGAAAGATGCAATATAAGGCCAATAAGCTTATATAATACAGGCTAAAACCTATCAAACCGAAAACAAAGCCTTAAAAAACTGTTGCCATGAAAAACTTGAACTATGATTTCTAATAAATTTTTTAGCATCTTGTTCGATCCAGAAATGAGCATAAAAATATTTCCGTTGAAACTACTCGAAATTAGATCAACACGCCGATAAAAAATAGGCCGAAATTATTTGGGCAGAATGAAGTTTTTGAGCAAAACACTTAAAAGTAATGAGCTAGAGAAAAAAAAACACTTCTACAATATATAACTTTTTTGAAGCGGACAACTTCCTGTGTGAAAAAACAGGTTCTTTCGAAACCACGATCTTTGCCGTCCCAGGCGCATTAGTTAACTGCAGACCAAGTGTGCTGGAGAGAGACGCAAATAAATTTGAATTCTTTAAGTGAACCTAAATTTACCATTTCTAACTTTGACTATTCTGTGAATTAAACTATTTACGGGAAACAAAAAGTCTAGTACCCGGTTGCAATACCCTTGCTTATCGCAAGGGTGATTACAAATGAGTAAAAATCGTTGTCTACGGGGAAAAAGACATGTTTCCTATTGCAATGCACTTGCTCTCGCAAGTGTAAATAATAATAATTATTGTATACGTCCAAATATAATTTCAAAGTACTTACCTCGTTTAGCTTCACCACAAACTGCGTCAATCCACTTAAAGCGTCTAAGTGACTTCCCATGAACTTATGCAGCTGAGCTTTGGTTACTACACGATCTGCCTGCTGGATTTCGTACATCCAATGCCACTTATGAGTTACTTCTTTCGGATCAATTATCTGAATCACCCGAGTGAACAGTTTCATCTCATGGAACGGAATGAACATGTAGACCAATTGGTTACAGTTAAACTTCTGCACGTTAAACCTTTGTACTAGCCACTCCAAAGTCTTAATGGCAGACGTTTTCAAAACATGAGGTGCTAGAAGGATGAAGAAATCACCGATTAATAAATCAAGCTCCTCATTTACATCAGCGCTGACAACTGACCGTTCCAATTTCTTCGAATCAATTCCGAAAAGCGTTTCACGAAACTTTGCGAACTGTGGGTCAATTGTAATTAATTCATTTAATCCGTCTAATGCGAATTGAAAAACGGTCTCTTTGTCTATGCCAGCAGCATCTTTCGAATTGAACATTAAAGAAACTCGCCCTTGAGCAATATCATCCGGCCTCGCTGCAGCTGCTTTCATAGACAGCTGTTGCAGTTGGGCCGCCAGGGATGTAGACATTTTAACTGAAAAGCAAGTCATTTGTGAGTCAGACCCCCTCCTCCCCCCACAGTCATGGTCAATTCACGCAAAGTTTGAAAACCATGAGGAATACATTGTAATCAGTGGGTTGCGAATATTTATATAAGCACCAGAATTTCGGAACAAATACAGTCTCGTCTATAGAGAAAAATTACTTATCAGAAAAAATTCATCGTGTAAGTTACTTCGATAATCCGTTTAAAAACCCGAAAAATTACTTTCTTTTTAAATACTTTTTCTATACTTTTATAAGAATCAGAAGGTAAATTTATTAATGGATATGAAGTTAAAACACTGGTCCTTTATCACTTCACTTCATTATAAAACCATTAGATATTTATGAAATAGGTTTATGTGTAAACCGGCCTCTATTAGCCTAATAGTAGTAGTAGAAGAAGAAGAAAGAACACTTGAATTACTATACAATAAAGAGCCGAGGCATCAGTGTAGCAAAGTGTAAATAATAAAATTGGTTATAAATTCATTGGTTACATCAAAAAAAAACATCAGAAAACAAGCAATAAACAAAAAAAAAAGCAAAATCGGTTACAGTTCGGAAATTGGTTGATTAAAGTATATGAAGTTTCGGATACTATAGAAAAATAAAGATTTAAGAATTAGGAACAAGCTGGTAATAAAACTTTACAAACAATTTTACACATAGTCCAATTATACAGCGTATATACAGAGTATATACAGTTTCTCTTTCAAGCAATGTGTGAAAAATTAAACTGAATTAAAACATATAGAACTAGCAAAAACGGAAATCACGCCACGTATTTGTATTAGTACATATAGGATTGTTTCTCAATTCACTCACGTAAAATTCTTTCAATTTTTTCTTGAATTCTGTTTTCGATTTTTCTAAATTGCGCAAAATTATGGGCAGTGAATTCCATTTTTTAGAAGTCAAATGAAAAAATGATTTTTGCAGAGAAGCAGTCGAACAATGTTTGTCAAAAATAATTTGTTTCGTTCTTTCGTTGAGCCTATAATTGGCAGTCGGTAGTCTCAGTGTATTTTCAAAAGCCTTCTTTTTGTTTGTAAGTTATTGGTATAAGTATGTTATACACTTTAACTCAATTCTTTTCTCGATTCCAATGAACGATTTGCTAATGCGAAGAAGGGAAGAAGATTTAAATTTCGATCTGAAATATGTTCTTTTTAGCGCCCAGTTCAACTGTTTCTCCAGAGATAGCATCAAAGTAGCATTAATTTGTTGTAAGAAAATTGCTGAATAATCTAAATGTGATAAAACAAGACAATGAAGCAAGGCAACTAATGATAATGTCGGCAGTTGTTGTCCAATTGTATCAATAGTTTTAATCCCTTGGGCCATTTTTTGGAGAATTGTTTTGATTTGAGCATGAAAAGATAAACTTGAATCAAGAATTATGCCTAAATATTTGCATTCTGATTTTTTGGCTACATAATGCCCACTAATTACTAGTTTATCAGTATCCACATTTTTGCTATCATTTTTTTGACAAAATAGTATAAATTCCGATTTAGATGCATTCAGATTCAATTGGTTCTCCGCAAAAAATTCCGTTAGATTATTGAGTGATTTTTGCAATCGATTCAAAGCATCCTCAGAAATTATAGAAGAGGAAAAAACCATACAGTCGTCAGCATATTGAACTAAAGTACAACCTTCATATAAATTGAACAACAACGGACCAAGTACCGTTCCTTGTGGGACACCTCGTTTTATTTCAATCCAGTCTGCAAAAAATCCATTGACGTTTACTCTTTGAATACGTTTGTTAGGAAGCTAGCAATTAAAGCATTTGCTCCATTTGAAAAACCGAGAGAAAATATTTTTTCAATTAAAACTTCATGCGACATAGAATCAAAAGCCTTGGACAGATCTAATAAAGCTGCATGTACGATTTTTTTTGAATCTATTTGATTTCGAATACTTTCTGTCACATAAACAAGAGCATCTTGTTTTGAAATGTTTTTGCGAAATCCGAATTGAAATGGTGTCATTATTTGAAATTTGTCAAGATGTTCTGTTATTTGGGCATTAAAAATTTTTTCAAAAATTTTAGAAAAAGCACAAGTTATTGATATTGGCCGATAATTTTTTGCATCCATTGGGTCATCTTTTTTAAACAAAGGGGTTACGTTTGCTTTTTTCAGTTCGATCGGGAAAATGTTTTCATCTAAGCAAGTATTTATGACAAAAGTTAAATATGGAACTAAAACTGATTGACCGTCAATGATTGCCCAAGCAGGTACGGTACAAGGTCCGAGAGGTTTTCTAACATTGATTTTTCAAACTATATCAAAGCATTGCTTCACTGCAATGTGTTGAAAACGAAAAGGTGCAGATTCAGAGGCAGATTTGTTGTAATTCGGAGGCTTTTTAGCGCCGAAAAATTCGCCTAAGTTTGAAAAAATATAATTGTCTTGGGTTATCATTTCACTGAAGGAATTTCGTAGAACTGTAATTCGATTGTTGCCAGAACATGTACCTCTAACTTGGTTAATATATCTCCATTTTTGTTGGATAGTGCTGAGAAGTGAAAAACATTTTTTTGAATGACCGAGTTGTTTACTTCTAATCAATTGGCTCATTTGATTACGTAAAAACTGGTACTTTGACCAATTATCGCTTGTGCTTTGACTGCGATATAATCTGAGTGAATTCAGTTTCTTAGTCAACAATTGCTGACATTCTGAATCGAACCATTCCGTTTTCAACACGTTTTTTGGTTTAAAATTACGAACAATCTTTTTTTCGATAGGAGCATGTTGCTGTAGAGCACCAGAAATTAAATAAATCATCGTCGAGAACATGTTTTGTGCGTCTGTACATTGATATAACAGATACCAAGGAAGAGCGGAGAGTGAATTGCAAAATTCATTTTTCTGATAATTTTTCTTATTGAAAGTCGAAATTATCCTCGGTAAAAGTTTGCCTCATTTTATATCCGTCAAAATAAATGAAGCAAAATGGTCGGTTTATAAGGTGTATCCAAAGAAAATTCAATGCCGTTTGTTTCATAGTCACTGATTATGTAGTCGATATGAGTTCTCGTTGAGGAACTAATTCTGGTCTCATCGTTTGGACAAAAAACCTTCAATCCATATGGAATAATTATAGAATCTAAATTTTCTTTTTCTTTGCTATCCAGATAATTTATGTTATAATCACCCAGAAGCGTAATTTTATTGCAAACTGAAAATGCATTATCTATGTTAAGCGTTAATTGTTCCAAAAAATCAATAAAGTTTGATCTGCTTGGGTTATAACACAAATTAACTAACATTTTTTCTTTACTCGAAATGTTAAATGTAGATTTGCACTCAACCCACACTGACTCATATTTTTCTTTATCAAATAAATTTAAATCAGGCCTCAATTTCGGAGCCAATTTGACTGGTATATATAACAAAACGCCACCGCCTTTCTTTTTTACCGCTGATTGCCTATCATATCTGAACATCGCATGCGTTCTAGGTTGGAAATTCCATAAATTGTCACTATCTTCTTTTTTAAGCCACGTTTCGGAAATTCCTATAATGGTATTTTCGCCCATATCATCAAGAAATTTTTTCAATTGCATCCGTTTTCTAATAATACTTTGAAAATTCAAATGAACAAATTTAAGATTTGCACAATTTTTTGAGCAGATACCGTAGACTGTTTCAATGGTTTCAATAGAACCAGGGTTTTTTTCAACATCCCCACTTTGGGTCAGTAACAACGCGAAAAGGAAAAGATGAGTCAGTGTGGTAGCTCTCCGCTCATTTATCCCACATTTCGATGATAATATCTTTTGCTGGCAGCTTAGATAGCCCCAGTAAACAATAGTTTTTTCTTTTTGCCTTGGAAATTAGAAAAATTGCACAAAACAACCAGAATTTAATATTCAGCATAATAAGTTAAATAAATTAAATAATCGCCAAAGTTTGCACCAAGAAAAAATGCGAAACTAGTATTTCCTAAAAAATTTTGCACCGTTTTGGAAAAATTGTTACATTTCTGCCGTTTTTGGATCTAAATTTGATGATTGTTGGGTTTGCTTCATTCTGGGGCCGGTTGTAATCTCACATGTGTTTGCATTAATATCAGAACCTCTAAAAGAATCTCTAAAACTTTGCACCAAAATTTCAACACCCCCATCAGAAGGATGCAAACCATCCGAGCTAAGCGCATCGGTATTTTGACTAAAATTTTTGTTTATGTCTAAAATATCCAATTTTACTTCGCCCAAGTCTTTTACATTCCGTACTAAATTAAGAATTTGCTTGTTTAGCTTCTGTACATTTGGATTAAAATCTTTTCTAAAAGCGCCTAAGGGAGTTACAGTACATAGTGAAATTGTTTCTGGGGAGAATTTATGGTTTATGAGATAAATTAATTTTTCTAAGCTACTCGCGGCTTCCTTCGCGTCGAAATCACTTGAGAGGCAGTCATTTATTCCAATTAGCGTAGTTACATGTTTAAAATGTCGCGATTTACTGTTTCTCACGCGTTCCAGCAATGCAGAAATTTTGTGCCCACCAAATTCTCTCGCCAACACATTTTCCGATATTTGTTCCAAATTGATTCTGTTAACAATTGAGTCTCCCAGTAATAGGCCAGAATATTCTCCTTCTCGTGGTAAAAATAAATGTTTTCGTTGCTGGTCGAATTTTTCTTCTTGAATATTGGTTGCTTGTATTTTGATTTCTTGGTTATTCTTGCTTTCTTGGTTATTTTCGCTTCGTTTGTTCTGATTTCTGCTCCGAGTTCCAATCTTGCTCCATTCATTTTCAAATTTGTTTTCTGTAATTTTCGAATTGCCCGTGTTTTTAAAATTTTCTAGATCAATAAATTTATTTCCTCTTTCTTCCTTTTTCGTTGATACAGTTAAGTTTTCGATAATTCGTTTAAAATAAGTAACATTTTCGACCAAGTCTTTATACAGCTCGTATTTCAATTCGTCGTTCAAATTTCGGAAAGTTTCGAGGTCAAACATGTTGGCG